GTGCCCGGCGTGCTCCGAGCCGCGCAAACTTCTGCCTAGGGGAACAGCATTCTTTTCCCTCTGCTCATCTTTCTTCCCCGTCCTTTTTCTCGCTTTTCCCCGGCACCGTCCGCCTCTCCCCAATCGAGATTTTCCCGTCGGCAGAAACAAAGCGGATTCCCAGGCGTAATAAAGAGACTCGGCCCCGACGCAAAAACGCTATCAGCGAGGACTCCTTCCCGTTCTCGCCCTACCCGTTTCACCCCTTTCCTCGCCGAGCGACTCCCACCTTCACGAAGGTTACCGAAAGCAAAGAGGGTTCTCTCACCGGAGGAATCCGATTTCACCGCGACCTCCAATTTCTTCCAGTTTCCTTTTCGTTCGATAGCCGCTCGTCGCGCCCGCCGCCCCTCTCTGTCCCATCGCTCTCGCCCGTTCCATCCCGGCAAGCCTTCCTACCCCGTTCGGCCAGACGGCGGCTGCAATCTCGCGCGGCTCATAATTCATACCCAAACTCGTCCAATTGGCCGCGGTCGTCGCATTATACCCGGAGACTTAATCTAAAGTTTCGCGGCGGCGGCGGCAGCAGGAGCGGCTGGGGGTGGTTGTTTCTCGCGTGCAAGACTTTACCCTCCCGGCGGCGGGACTGGATTCCCGGCGATAAATATCGTCGAAGAAATTAACCCGAGAAACCTCCGAAAATGATCCCGACAACCCGGCATCGAGCGAAGGCTCGGTGTACAAGGGAGCAAGGGCTGGCACGAGGGTGGCTTAATAAATATCCCGCGACTGTATCGTCCTCTAATAAACTCGAAACAACTTACGCGAACTGTGTCCTCCTGCTGCTTTTTAATTACTATCATCCGGCTCGCCTTCCCCTTCCTCTGTTTAATTTTTCCGTCCCCTTGTCCGCGCCCCCCGCCCCCTTCGCGCCGCCGGAGCTTTTTCCGTGTCGGGGCTGGAAGGATTCTTTGCCCGGCGACTCCGCGCGCCGGCTTCTCCCCCGGTTCTTTTCCGGAGAAACTTGCCCGACCGCTTCAATTCCCACCGCCGAGGCAACCCCTTTACGTCTCATGGAAAGAACCCGGCGTAAACTGGCAGGACGATGCGCGGTAAAGCTCGTCGAGCTGGCCGACGCACAGTGGTCGATTCTGCCGTTGTAGCCGGTCAAAAGTCAATTTTCGGAATCCCTTTGTTTCTATTGCGACGGAAATTGCAATCGAAATATAAGATTCCTTAACCTATCGCATAGAATATAATTGATCGTCGATATGCTATTCTCCGTGTATAAATATACAATTTTGTTATACAAGTACATGTAATTGGCAATATCTAATGTTTCTTTTCGTATTACGTAATTTATAACGATCATATATAGAATTATATTTGCGAAACGACAACATCAGCTACCACGCGACGGTTCGTCGAAATCAAAGGGAGAGGCGGCTGCGCGTTGACAAACATTTGTGAAGTTTCGATCATCGCACCGAGGGGGCAGCGCGGGGATTCGAAGGGGTGATCGCGGAGCGCGGTACGTTTGTACAGGATCTCGGTCAAGGAATACCGGAGGACGAACAAAATGTTTACCGCAATTTCGGTGGTTACTGGCACAGCGCGAGGGCGGATCGGAGGCGGAGGAGATCGGGGGAGAATTCAATTAAGCACGCCCGATGCGTTTAACGCTCCGTAAAGCCAGACCCGGGAAAAACCAGCGGGGCTTTCCTTTCGACAGCCGCGGGATTTGCATGTGCATCGTTCGCGCGACGTGCAACGGTGCCGGGCGTCGCGGCCGTGTCTCGTGGCGGTGTAACCGGCTGGCCGCCTCGGTCTGAGCGCCTCCCGCGCTAAATAATCATTTTAGAGTAAACTCTCGCTCGCTGCGAGACACTGCTCGATATTAAAGTGATTTAATATAACGCGGCCCGGCTCTAAATTAGAAATTATAAACGGGGCCGCAAATAACCGGCACGTCGCGAGGAAACCGCGCGCGTGCGATTAAAGGGATTTTCTGCGAAATCATCTTCCCCCCGGGCTCTCCCCTTCTCCGCCCCACTCGCCGTCTCTTTGCACGACGTCGTCACATAATTCGATATAAATTATTCCCGCCGCGGCCGGTGTCCCGGCGTGTCGTTATTTTCGCGCGGTCCTCGCCATTTTTAGAGATATCCGCCCCCGGTCGCGGGCATTCCCACGAACATGCCGGTCGTTTAATCGAAACGAAACGGAAGATAAATCTCGGCGCGGGTAGCGCCGGGAGATTCTCCAATTACGCGTAATGATGTAAAATCGTCGGGCGATAATGGGTCCCAGGGTTCACGGGACGCCGGCGAGAGAGACACGTGTTCTCTATTAATAGGCCCGGGCCGTTTTTACCCGGGCCGGGTCGCCGCGCCGGGGGCGCGAGGAAAAACCGGCCGGACGGAGAGGACGATGAAAAAGAGAGGAGGCGTCAGCAGACCGATGGCGCCTGTCACTGGTAAATACGGTTTTTCAACCGACAGCTTAAAGACAATAACAGAAACAGAGCTGTTCCGCGTGTGTCCAGGGCTACACGCTCGCCCCTTTCTTCCTCGCAGCTCCACCCGACGCGGAGCGATTCACCCCGAGCGAGCTAGCGCCGCGATTATTCTTCGCGGCCGGTCCCGTTTTTTAACATCCGTCCCGATGATCCCTCTTCCCTTCTCGTTCGCAATGTTTTATACCCTTTTTGCGCCGCACCGAGCCGTACCGTCGATTTGCTCGACGATAAAGCGTAACGAGCGGTAGCGTCGCGCACCCTAATAATCCTTCCTAGGCAATCCCTCGCATAAATGGAATTTTCGAGCGTTCAAAGGGAGAGGGGCGCACAAGCGCCGTCGCAGTGGATTACGGGGCACCGTAAAAGTTGAGGATATTTTAACGACGGGATACCTCGTTAAAAACTCCGCGACGGGACAAGGTGGACGCGCCTAGACGCGAGACAATCGGTTAATTACTGGAAAGAATCCGTCGGGCGCTGCTCGAAACGATCCACCCGTGCGGCGATCGAGTCGCCGAGCGGATTAAATTCTGTTATCCAGCTGCCTCGGTTGCGCGAGCAATCCTCTTGCCGTTCGTACGAAGCGCGACAACGGACGGAACAACGGAAGACCGGCGTGGATTAATCGTTGGCCGAGATTTATCGGAGCGTAACGAGACGTCGCCCGACAGGAGAGAAACGAAGCCTTTCCGTGTCACGAAATCCTCGGGGAATTTCAAAGGTTTTGTCGCGCGCCGCAACTTATTCGGAAGTTTCGGCACGCGAGGCTTCGACGGCACCCTTACACGCGCTCGCGCTCGCGCTCGCGCGGGCACACCGATCGCGCGGGCAACTTTAATTGAAATTCTTTCCGTTCGTCTTCGACCTATAATCCCGGCCGGCCGTAGATCACATCGAACAGAGGGAAATGGTTATAGAATCCGCCGCGCGTTTCGCGTCTGAACGCGGCCTCGGTGTGCAGTTAATAGTCCCCCTCCGGCCTCGTTCGTTGTCCGAGGGAACGTCTCGAAGATCGAGCCGGGATTCCGAATAATGCTTTGTTAGGCGGCCAATCCCGGCCACAGAAGAAGCAACGCGAAGATTAACGGAGACGCGGGGGTGGTTTTTGTTCGGCCGAGCTCCCGATTCAATTCGCCGCGGCGCGCGCAGATAAGGGAGCAACTGGAATTTATCCCGCTGTAAAATCCCGTCCTTCCGATATGAATCGGGGAACCATGGAATCCCGTCACGTTCTTTCCTCGAGCCGTTCTTCTGTGCCACCTGTTCCACGAACGGACGCGCGAATTTCATTCTACCCCGAAATTACCGGTATCCCGTGGCGTTCCGGTTTCACGAAATTAACTTTTTAGTTCGACCGAGTCTACTCGGCCGCCCCCGTCGCGCACAGGCTTCGTGTCATTAACTAAACATGCGACCCGCGCCGAGGTAAGCTTCCATCAAAGTGTATTCCGCAGCTTCGTTAACGGTAGAATCACCTATTAGAGAATATTGCATGAACGACGTAGGATTACTAGCTCCGACGGAAAAGCCGGGCAAGTTGCAAGTCGATGTAATCCGGCGCCGAGAGATCGAACCGAACCTCAGGGGCGGTCGAGCGGCGAAAGTTCGATCGGGAATCGAACGACGACCGAATCGAACGCCGGATCCGTTAACGAACGATGGATGATTAACCGCGGCGACGGCGGAAAGTCGCCGCGGAAGCGAGACTCCTTTTACCGCTGGCAGGCGGCATCTGGTTCCGAAGAATCCTCGAAATAACAGAGGGGGATGATTGAACTTACCGGAATGGCGACGCAATCTTCGATCTCGGTGAGGGGTTCCTCCGAGCAGAAGGTGCCGTCGGTGAGGAAGGGCGGCCGGGGCGGTGGCGGCAACCGGAACTCAGGGGGTGGGCCGGGGCACTCAGGGCACTCCGTGCTCTCCAACGTCTCCAGCTCCTCCATCCTCCACCTCAGCGTGCTGAAAACCACACGGAAAATCAACGCTCGATTAATCTTATTGACAGAACTATTAATCGGCGCGGGGAAGAAGCTTTATCCGCTTCCCGACCGCCGCCCCGTAATTTATTCCCTCTCCCGGGGGCTCTCCGCCCGCACGCGAACCGCCTCCGATCCGCGGCATTGATTTTTTTTCCTCCGACCGACGATACACGACCGATCGCCGGGGGTGCATCGAAGACCAACAGTCGAGAATTCCGGAGGGTCGTTCTCGGCAAGCCGAAAAGTCTGCGTCGGGAATGAAATGAAACGGTGGTAGAAATCTCGTTACCGCGGTCGGACGAGGGGCCAGCTCCGGCAGCGTCGCGAGAAGAAAACCGAGGGAGGATGTAGGGAACGGAAGGGACAACGAGGGGTCATCGCTCAGATAAACTCGTTAGCGGCCAGGGGGTATCGTCCAGGGAAAACAGCGAGAACGCTCGAGAGCGTGGCGGGGAAGCCGAAGCGGGCGGATTCTCGGAGCGCGCAGCCGGCGAGTCGCTCGGAAGAAAAATTGCAGTTGACCGAGAAAGTTCGTGGCCTAGGGTTAAATTGATAAGGGGGAAAGGGGATCCCCGCGGCGCCGAGCGAGCATCCCGTCCCGTCTCGTTCCGTCGCGGGAGAGTGGATTTCGCCGGCTAATTAAGAGATACGCGTCTGGTAGACGACCATTAGGAGCGGCCAGCGCGGCCCGCGGGCGGCCGTGACACCGGTCGTGTCCCGTAAACGGGGCTAAACGCGCGGTTTTTCAACGCGCCACACATCGCGCGGGGTTATCCGGGTCTCTCGTTAGCATAGGAAGCACCTTCGACTCGAGAGCCGTTCCAGCCGGCGCTGACTGCCGGGAACGATCTTCGCAGTCGGTATGCTAATATCGGGGACTTAATTACAGTCTCATAATGAATCAGTCACGCCACCGGTTCGTCTGCGTCCTATCGCGCTACCCTCTCCGTCTATCCGTCTCTTCCCACCCCTCGGGCACACACGATCGTATTCCCTTGATTAATTGTTCTGCCCCCTCCGCGAACCTCGATCGCGTCCTTCTGGACGATGATCTGTCGCGTGTTATCCTCCGGACGGAGCGGACGACGCTCCGATACGACGTAGCAACCGTTCGTCGTTCGCCGTGACGATCGATTCCGTTTTGCTCACGTTCGTGCGGTCGAGTGTTTATTTATTCGTCTCCCTTTGAATTGTCTGTTCTTGTTATTGTCCGCTTAGAAATGGAATAATAGAACGATCGCGCTGTTCAGAGTATTTTTATGCGAAAAGAGGCAAGCGCATTCGGTTTCCCAGCTGAAACTAAAGGAGCGCACTGCTTGGTATTCTCCGGATTTTTGGGAAGACCTTTGACACTCGAACGGTTAATCCTCGCGGTGTCGTGACTATTTGAACCCATCGATTACGGACACTTACGTTTCGCTACGCCTGAACAGCGATAACTGTAATCCACTTTTTATTCTCTAAGCGGTGCTTATTATTTCCCTCCGTTACGTCCGTTACACGTTTCGCTCTGCTCGAAGTCCACCGTTCCTTTTTCCCTTTCGCGAAGAGACTAGCTTCTAAAAGGGAGCCCAGTCGAGACTATATTATACAACGTCACGGTACAGGGGACGCGGCGTCGCCGGAAGGCTGACGCCGAGGCAGAAACGTATTGTTACGAGTTTTCATCTCCTCCCGATGGAAAGTCGAAAGACATCGGCGAACTCCCATCGAGCAAATACCCAGTCCGTCTTCGGGAATTTTTGCGAAAGCAAAGTTCACAGAGGACGGTCGTCTCGTCCAAGGGATTCCGGGCGTCGAAGATGGAACAAGTTCCAGGGAATGAGGCCGACTCGCCTGTGCGCGAGCGTAGCCGGCCGAGAAAGAGGGAAACCTCGGAGGTGGCAGCGGAGCCGAGCGACGAAGAGGGTATCGAGCCACTATTTTACGCTAAGCGCGAGCGCGCGCGATGGTGAAAAGGGGGAGTGTGGCAGGAGGTTCGGGAAACGAGAAGAAGAGTGGCACGTAGGTGGATGAAGCCGAGGAGGGAGAAGAACACGCTCGCGCTCGGTTTAATAAACGCAGGCTTCCTCCTTTCCGTTTCGTTTCTCAGCTCGGCCGATGATCCGGCCCGACTTTTGGCGACGTCGGTAGCTCGCGAGTCTTCGTTTCCGTTCCATCACCTTCGCCAAGCCACCCTGCTTTCCTGATTCGCGTATAGGGCAGAAAACGCGCAAGAAAACGTCAGCTTTTTATACACGATTCTCACTGCGTTTGCAGTTGATTTCGGTGAATATGCGAAAATTGCGATATTAATCCCACATTTTACAGCGAGTTTCGAGAGGATTCGCTTTCTCATCTCCCGCGTGACATACGACCGCAGCGACAAAGTACTGTCGCGAGGTGACTTACGACCGTTAAGGGTTAATTCCCGCGCCTCTCTCGCGTCTACGAGTCCCTTTGTACCTGAACCGTGGAATCGATAACTCTCCCGATGAGTCCCTAACGAATGAGCACGTCGGCGCGTTAATTTTTGCGTACGAAGATATTCTGGAATCGGTGAGTGATCCGGTCGGGTGCATTGTTCCGCCGGCCACCAGGAAGAGGGCGGCCTCGTAAAGCGGTCAAACCCGGTCAGGAATTACTCGAGAGTTAATTGGAAGCGCGGGGACGCGATTTCGCGCGGTAAATCTCTGCCGCGAGCGTCGACACGGTCCCGTTGCCCGAAATAGTACGCGCGACAACGGGTTTCGGGGCCGAACCGTCGCGCGATCCGAGAATTAGAACTGATGCGGCCGGGAACGAAAAGGCGGAAACGTCGCCTCTAATGAAATTGTGCGGCCGGCAGCCGTGGAACCGTCGGGCCGGACCGGAAAAATCGCGACGCGTCGTTCGTTTTCGGTGGCAGCCGCGAAACGCGCTCGCCGGGTAATAAATAGCGGCGTTGCAGCCGCGGCGGCGGCGGCGGCTCTCGCGGCGGCAGTTCCCGGCTTAGAAAACCGCGAACGAGGCTTTATCGTGACGCGTGGACCGGCCGAATGAAATTTTGCCTAATCAGACGCGCGCGTCCCGTGCCGGGCGTCCAGCGGCGGTATCTCGCGAGCCGACCGGGCGCGAGTGAATAATGAGAAACACGGGAAACCGGCGGGCGTCGCGCGGTGGCCTGGAATCGTAAAAACCCGGGCTGGATTCAAATTCTCGGGCTTCTTGAAAATTCATGACATTTTTATCATACTCTTAAATATACATAGCGACTGGTGATACGCTTACAGTTTGCGGGAAGTCATCAAAAATGAATTGAGAGTGCCTCGAATACGAGGAAAAGTTCCGGGATAATTCTAATTTCTTCGAGACTGTACTTCGCTCTACTATGTTCGGGATAAAGACTGAGAATACGTTTTAATGGACATCATACGCTTGAAACCGTGGATATTATAGTTTACGAATATAATCCTCGATACGTGCTTGAATTTGTATTTCCCAGGTATCGATATAAAAATAACAGAAATACGAATTCACCGGGGGTTTCCACGATGTCTAGTTCACCGTGCGGCGGCGGCGAACGCGCGTGATATTACGCGCCTGTGATTATTCCATTAATTAAGCACCGTTATAAATCACTGCCGCGCGGCGATAAGAGGATCATGTACCGGGAAAAATTTGATGCTACGCGGCGCGGGTAGAAAAATAGAGGAACTTTCCCGCGGAAAGATTCTGTTAATTAAATTCCAACCGATGCGGGAATTAACGAGTCGCGTTCCCCCGCGCGTACGCCCGCATTAATTCCCGTCCCGGGTTGCGCTCGAGCCGAACGCGTTCGAATCTCCGCGGACCATTAGGTAATGACTCCGTTCTAACGGCGGCCGTGGTTCCCTCTCGAAATCATGGAGAACAGGCCGGACCTCCGAAGGTGTCGGCGATGACGGGAGGCCCGCGAGAGAGCTCGTGCGTGCCCCTCGTCGTCTCCGGTAATTTCATTACGAGAATCTGGACGTTCAGCCGCTCGTCGTCGGGAAGTATATATTCCTGCGGTGTGTAACGACCGCCTGGAGAAAGAACGTGGCTGGCTGACGCTCGAGTCGCCGGCGAGACGCGGGGAGAGGAGCTTTCGCGAGGCCGCGTCGCGTCAGGAAATTTCATAACGTCCCCCGACGAGCCGTCGTATCGCCGAGCACCGAAATTCACGACGTCCGTCGCGTCGTATCCTCCGAAACGAATGTCGCCGTGGCTGGTATTTATGGTCGGTCGGATTCGTTTTAATGCGCTCGCGAGACGCGGCCGTTCCGCCGCGCCGGGGGGGAAATCGGTCGGCGAACGACTTTGTTCGGGCGGCTCCGAAAACCCGACGTAATCGAAATAGAACGGCGTGTACACGTGCGACAAAACGTGAAAAAAGAGACGCGAAAGCGACCGGGCTCCCCGAGATCGACGAACGCGTTCGCGTTTAATAGCGCGTTCACGGCGACAGCGAACCCGGCGGATTAGGAGTGGCCGGGTGAAATCGGCTTCTTCGTCTACGGGGGCGTGCGCTTAGACGCGTCCGCTGAAAAATACTCGCGGCACGGATGGCCGCGGGAATACACTGGCCGCCCTCCCCCTCGGCCCCCGCCTTCTGCGAGGAAACTTTAAATTAACTCGTTTTAATCCCGCGGAGAACGTAAGCCGTTCCGCGAATCGCTCTTGTCGAGTTCTGACGTTAAGTAATCAGATTAGCTCGAACCAACCTCGAAACGCCGCGGAAATTGCGTTAATCCACTTTGAGGGCCGTTGGCGCTCGAAATGTTCGGATAATCGTTCGAAAGAAGGGGAAAACCGTCAAGAAAAAGTGAATTTTTTCCGGCGTCCGTCGGTCGTCCTCGGTCCCGCGACGCGGCGAAGTTGCCCGACCGACGGCGGGGACGTCGCCAGAGGGAGGATTCCTCGTCGGGGAGGGACCGAAAGTAGACGAGATTAATTTGGAACGTCTCGAGATTCCGGCGCGCGATTTCGACGTCGGAAAGT